CCACCCCGGGGAGGCCTAGCTGCCTTGCCCTGGCCTTGAGAGGGCCACCCGGACACCTGGGTGTTTTCTCAAGTGAGATACTTGAGACACTAGACTGAAACAGTCGTCATTTCCTCGTGTCCCATTCACTATCTGTGAGCAAATCAGAATTTCCGAGGTGTGTGTGTGCGCGCGCGCGCGCGCGCGCGCGCGCGCCAGGCCTACAGACTCGGAAATTCTGATTTGCTCACAGATAGTGAATGGGACACGAGGAAATGACGACTGTTTCAGTCTAGTGTCTCAAGTATCTCACTTGAGAAAACACCCAGGTGTCCGGGTGGCCCTCTCAAGGCCAGGGCAAGGCAGCTAGGCCTCCCTGGGGTTGTCATCTGTGAGCAGACGGCCCCCAACCCACAGCAGGCCTCTCCTAAATCATTGTGTTTACATGCATGCTGTTTAATATGGACAGTGAGCAGATCCATAGATCAGTTAATAGGCATTTAAAAGCATTTACTCAGTCCCCACAACAGTTTATGGAAAGTGCGTTTAGAAAGCCATCGAGGTTATTGCTATTCTAAAGTGCTCAGGGATCCCAGATGAAAGGCCCTCGTAACTGGGAAGTATTTATAACTCAAGAAGGAACCTTCCACACCCGAGTTATACAACACCGCCACCACCCCCCTGGCATGCTGGACCTGTCAGCCCATTCGGCTTGTATGTTTAAATTACACTGTAAATTCTATAGGGTGGAGACCTTGTTTTTACGGTTTGTAAAGCATCATGAATAACCATGGTACTCTGTAAATAAATAAAAACCACATGAAACGATGGAAATAGATGCCTCCTCCTCTGTGTGTTTGGGAATTTGTCCCTTGTTTCAAAGTCCTTGGGTTCAATGGATGCCACTCTGCAAAAGTGATCTGGGACATGACAGCAGGATTTTTGTCTCCCCCCACTCCCTTTACAGAAGTGTGATCATGTAGTTTTATTTATCTTCAGTCTGCAGATCCACTGGAGCTGTCTTAACTTCCTGAAGAGCACAGAGAGAATAGTTTGACAAAGCCACACTGAAAAGCAGAGGTGACATGGGACTGTCCTTGAATTTGATTCTAACCCGCTGTTTACCTTAGAGTGGTGGCAACTATCCCTAAGAAACTCCATCAAGGCTAATATTCAGCTGTCAGGAAGGAGCCACAACTGTGGCTACAGCCTCCCCATCAGCCATGGGATGTTGCTATGGAGATGGAGGTGGGATTCTAGCCCTCTGGCCTGACTTCTGGGACTCCCTCCACTCTGGTATCACCTACCTGGCTTCTCTATGCTTTACCTTTGCATGTGGGCTTGCAGATTTGTCTGGGTCAGCTCTCAACTTCTTGGACTACGAGAAAGGTCAAATGAGGGCCAAGAGAGCTAACCATAGTGATCTGCCACAAACACCAAACACAGGTTACAGGAAAAAGTCAAAATGAAAGACCCTTGAAAAGACAGCTTCTGCATTTGACACATAGTGCTGCCTTACACAGTGAGAGCTCTTTCACCAAAGATCTTAATCTACATGGCACCCAATACCACCCCTTGCACATAGTAGCTGCTCACTAAACATTTAGCGGTTTGCTTTGTGATGTGCTCAAAGAGATGAGTAATTACCTTTGAGCCATTAAGAGATATAAATGAAGAGCATTAAGAGCATTGAGTCAAAGCCTGTCTTAGCAGCTGGTAGTTTGCCTGGCCACAGTACAAAGCTTAGACGACTCACATATTAAAAGCACCAGCCAACCCAAGACTCAGTAAACAAAGGCAGAAAGAGTGCTAACATCAGTGGGAGAGTCAACCCTCTTGACCTGTTGGAAGAAGCACAGGCTTGCTAAGGATGGGTACGTCGTTTGTTCAGATACTGGAGCTGATTTCTCATATGGCTCGTGCCAGATATGAAGGAAGACGGTGCATAAAGCAACACAGAATGCTCTGGAGTCATAGTAAGGGAGAAGGTGTCTTGGCCCCCATAGCCTTTCTATTCTTAGGTATAAATTAAGGTCACATACCCGGGTTGGTCCAGGATGGGGCACTGGGCACCTACTTACTCAGGTCTGTTTAAAGAGTTTGCTTTGGGAGTTGAAAATGGTTGGTTGTCTAAAAACCTTTGCACCAGGCTTCGTTTTCTTAGATTTATTTATTTATTATGTATACAGTGTTCTGCCTACATGTAGGCCTGCAGGTCAAAGAGGGCACAGATCACATTACAGATGGTTGTGAGCTACC